CAGACAGACAGATGGGGCCACTCAGACAGACACAGATGGGGCCACCCAGACAGACAGATGGGGCCGCTCAGACAGACGCTGCATGCACCAGTTAAAACTGACAGTAAGGTTCCAGCACCTGACACAAACCAGGCAACTGTTTTTTATTTTGTGGCTAAAGCTTCCGTATCAGTCAGGCCTCACCTTTCCTTTCACCGCGGCAAATGCTAGAGAACAACGATGCTGAGGCATAGCGTTAAAAGGAGGACACTTTGTGACCCCAATTCAGTACCTGGCTAAGGTTTCAAAGCCACACCCACCTGCATTTCCCCAGGAGCGCAGTCTGGGTCATCAACAAAGAAATGGAGGGAAAGTCCCTAGAAAATGGACGTCGGGTCAGAACAACTGGCAAGCAGTATTAAAACCGCGTCATCAAGCAAATCTGCATAACTGTGTGACTGAAACAAACCTGTCGTGTGTAATTCTTGACAGTGAGAAGGAGAAAACACACAGAAGACAGACAGCGAGGTAAAGGTATAAATGTGCCAGTTTCCTCGATTTATCTAGGGAAGATCAATAAATACATTTCATTCTTGATGGTGATATTTAGGCAATATGTGCTTTTCTCTTCTCTAGGAAAACGGGCCCCATAATTGAATCAATAAGCAATAGACAAAAAGCTGTAGATGACATTGAAAATGTTATTCAAGAATGATCTCTCGCGGGGTCCCAGGCCCAGGCAGCTCACAGGCTAGGCTTCCAGATGGTCACGGAGCAGATTACTTCCAGGCCAGACAGATGTTTCCAGAGAGCACAGGAAGGCGCCATGCACCCCAGGAACTCATTTCGCAGAGCGCACGCGTTCCGGAGGCCCAAGCCAGGATAGGTTGGAAAGGAAACTGCGGGCAGGTGTCCTTGATGAATACAGATGCAAAAGTGACATGTGACATGCTGGAGCAGCGCATTAAAGACTGGGCAGCTGTACACACACTGAAGCCCAGGGCAGGAGTCTGCAACACCGTACACGTCATAAGTACTCACCACATGCAGAAACCAATGGAGGAGAGCACGGCACACAAGGATAAATGCTGGAAAGACATTTGCGAAAACTTTTTAATGAACTAAGACTGAGAAATACTTTTCTGAACATGATTAAAAATATCTACTCGAAAAAAAAAAAAAATCTACTCGAGGGGCGCCTGGGTGGCTCAGCTGGTTAAGCATCTGGCTCTTGATTCTGGCGCAGGTCATGATCTCTCAGTATGGGAGTTTGAACCCAAGTGGGGCTTGGTAGTGACAGCATGGAGCCTTCTTGGGACTGACTCTCTCTCTCTCTCTCTCTCTTTCCCCCTCTTTCTGTCTCTCTCTCCCCCTCAAAATAAATAAATAAACTTTGAAAATATCTACTCCGACCACAAAGCTGACAGGGAGCGCCCTGCAGCACATCAGGGTGGTGTCCCACTGCAAGGCGCGTCCCCACTGGAAAAGACAAGGCGCTCACTGCTCCCGCATCCCCTCGACCCCCGACTCCATAGCAAAATAAGTAAAAGGGCAGGGATCTACCTATCATCTATCAATTATCTATCAGGAAGGGCGGGGCAAAGTTGACATGATTCAAACATGCCTACCTGAAAAAAAAGGAAAGAATCAGAAAATACACAGATTTATAAAATTCCATTAACATGAATCTAAAAAGCAATAGTTTTCCTACATGCTAGTGTTAACAGAGCAACCATGAAAAAGGAATCCTATTCAGAACAATAAAATTGAGTATCTAGAAATTAACCTCACAAAAGCTATGTCAGCCCCCAATGACTAAAGCCACAGGCCGACAGGTTTCTGTAAGAATGGACTTGAACCCACGAATGAAGACAGCACGTTCCATATGGGAAGATCAATGTTAAGAAGATGTGCGTTCTCACCAAACTGAGGTACGAATTTGGTGCAAGGTCGTGCAGAACTCCAGTTGAATACTCTATGCAGAATAATGAAAAGCAAGAAAAGACAAGGAAATCCTTTAAGAAAATAATAATTTGGATGCACGTAGGACATTTCATGTCGAAATAAAGCTTCCATAAATAAATGGTGACACCGTAGGGCTAAAACACACAGTGCCTGCTGGAACGGACAGAGACCCAGAAATTGCCCAAAGAGGCCTGGGCGGTTAGCACAGAACACGCAGATCTGAGGGCCAGCGTGCAGAGGCCAAGTGCCCAGAGCTGCCTGGCCACCTGGCCCAGATCCCGCTCCCCCGGCGCAGCCCCTGCACAGGCCACCTGTCTTTGCTGTAATTTCTTCGTCAGTGAAGTGAGGGTAAGAGTATCTACCTAATGTGTCCTTTGTGGGGGTTAAATAAGTTAATATATTTAAAGCCCTTCATAGGGTACCTGGCACATTGTAACCTCCATGTAAGAATTTATTAGGTAAAGGAAAAAAAATTGTTGGGAAAGTTAGTTAACTGGGGGAACTATGAATGAGACACATGTTCATACCACGTGCCCATTTAAGGGGCAGATGGGACACAAATTGCAAAATACAGTCACAAAGTCACTGGTTCAAAGTGTAGACAGATCTATGGTCATGCGGGAGTAAAGTGTCTCTAACCGGGAGTAAAGTGTTTCTAACCTGAGAGAGGAATGGGGGGGGGGGGGGACAGNGGGGAGAGAGAGAGAAAGAAAGAGAGGGGAGGGAGAGAGGGAGGAAAGGCAGAAAGAGAGAGAGATGGTGGGGAGAGACAGAGAGAGGGGAGGGAGAGACAGAAGAAGGGGAGAGACAGAGAGAGGGGAGGGAGAGACAGAAGAAGGGGAGAGACAGAGAGAGGGGAGGGAGAGAGACAGAGAGAGGAAAGACAGAAAGAGAGAGGTGGGGGGAAGAGAGGAGGAGGGGAGGGAGGGAAGGAGGGAGGGTGGGACACTCTGGGAGGCTGGGGACCGGGGAGGCAGTGACTCACGGGGACAAGCCGGGAGAGCTTGTTTGGGCGGGAGTTAAAGGAGAGGGTAAAGGGTAAAGGGTCTACGCGAATGTAAAGCGTGAGCACAAGCACGTCAAGGCAACAACCGCATCCGGCATCGAGATCAGGAATTCCCACGTTCTCAATCTTTATAGGAACCTTCAGAAAACATAAGCAGGACAATCAAAATGTCTCCAATAAACATCTTTTTTTTTTTTTACATTAAAGATACTTTCTAAGGTACAGAGTCTCTGCCTCACAGCTTCAAGACCCACGGGAACACCAGGGATGATGCCTTTGTCCACACCGAGCGCCCGCCTGAGACCAGCAGCCTGCGCGTGCGCCCCCGGGACGCTGTCCGCCCCTCGCACACCGTGCTGTGACACGACCCGAGTCGTGACAGCATGCTCCCCAGGAAGCCCTCCTGCAGACAACGGCTGGCTCTACGGGAATCCCGTCTCTCCGATGAGGGGGCCGGGCCCTGACGGTGGATCTGGCGCGGCTGTGACTCAGCCCGTGCGAGGCTGGCCCAGAGTCACGCAGGCCCCCAGGGATCTGGAGTGCGGAGCCGACGCCGTTAGACCAGGGACTGCGACGCGAGCCTTGCCCTTGGACGGGACTTGCAGGATTTTTTACAAATCGCTAGACAGCAGCGACTGTCAACGGGCCATCCTTTGCCACACTGAGCAGTGGGAATAGTTTGCTTCTAGTGCCTTCCGCCCTCCCCCAAGCCCCACCCTTCCGCACCTCCCTCCGTTTTCCCACCAGGGCCCGTGGAGACATGAGCAGAGAACCAGGCTGAGCCCACGACACAGGCTCCCAGATGCCATCTAATCACAAGGATCCTAATGACAGAGGTGCCGGGAAGGCAGGCAGAGCATGTGGTCCGGGTGGTGGTGGGAGGAAGCCCATGCCCCAGAGCCGCAGCACCCCGGCCCGCCCACAGACACACCGCCTGCCCCTCGGCCTCCCCCACCCCTGCACCCCTACTGGACCCGTCAGGTCTCCTTCAGGGCCTGTGTCTGTGGGAGCCCAGGGAGCCCAGAGGCTGAGGTGATGCTCCTGGGTGACCAACGCCTTCACTCCCCCCACTGGCGGGGACCAGGCAGGCCGGGCGCCATCCCAAGGCCAAGCAGAGGTTTAGAGGGTGCACTCCAGGGGGAGGTGGGACGGACGGAGGACAGCGTGTGTCCTGGGGTCAAAGGGCTGGGACAAGAAGACCAAGCCTATTTCCTTCTCTTCCACCCAGCATCCAAAGGTCCAGGCCTGGCCAAACTCCGTACTTTTATCGAACCTCTTCACCTGTAAAATCCACCAGTGTCCCCACACAGCGCTCCTGCCGCCTCTTCTGAGTAAGGAGGGTGTGCAGGTCGGAGAGGCTGTACGTGAGGGGAGGTTGCACGGGTGAGAGGGGTTTGCAGGTCAGACCGGGAGGCAGTGAGGTCAGGGAGAGGGTCTACAGGTGAGCGAGGGCGGTGGTGCAGATCAGAGGGCAGGCTGTGCAGTGAGAGAGGGAGGGCCTGCGGTCAGAGAGAGGTTGTGCGGGTGGGGTGAGGGAGGGCGAGCGGGGCGTGCACAGGGCTCCTGAGGCTCACCCCTCAGAGGCAGAGGGGAGCTAAAGGGCCCTCCGGGTTCCAGGAAGACCAGAAGCATAAAACGGTCGGTTGCACTGGAGACGCGGGGTGAGTGTGATTATAATATTATTTGCCTCAAGACGTGACTCTTTTAATTTCACTGGAGAACCCAGCTTTGGACAGGAAATCAATGGTCTGTTGTTATCAACGGCGGAGAGGAAATAAGGCCCCACACGTGTGGGCGGCTGTCTGGGCTGTGATTTATTGGAGAGCAGGCTGAGTCTCTGGCGAGAAGACAAGGGAGGGTCTGCACTCCGCCAGATGCCAGGCCCACCCCAGGCCCGCACCCCCACCCCGCCCGCCCTGGTGGAAGCCTGTGGGCTGCAAGGTCACAGACACGGGTTCGGGCGCCCTGCCGCTGCGTGGGGACGCAAGGAGCCACCGGCCCGGGCAGAGGCGGACAGCTGCCGACCTTGGCGGAGCTCCGGGGCAGGCGTGGAAGCGTCGGCAAGCAAAACGGGCGCTTTCGGCCGCAATCACCTTGTCGGGCGTGCTCACGCGGTGCAGAGCGCACATAAGCCCGCACGCGTGCAGAGCCGCTTTATTTGGGTTTGTCCTCGGAGCACGCGCTGTTCCCTAGCTTTTGTAATTCCACCTTTTGGAAGGCAAAAACTGTCCCTCTGCAGAACTGGGTTTTGATTTGCTGCTGTTCACCGGACAGGAACCCCTTCCCAGGAAGAAAGAGCGCTGTGCTCGGCGCACCGCATCGCCTCGTCCCTCCTAAATCCACCCCATCTGCAGCCGGAGCCCCGGGGAGGCCGTCCAGGCAGCACGCATCCTGCGTCCCTGACACGGTCCCCGGGCGGCTCAGGCGGCACCGGGAACAGAGAATGCGTGGGAGGGGGGCCAGCAGGGGGCTCCCGGGAGGCGGCCACACACCACCGGCCACACCGCCCTGGCAGGCCACAGTCACCAGTCCAGGGAGGCCATGTCCACCCCCCTGGAGCCACGGACAGCCTCAGGGCTGGCGGGTGGCAGTCCCGGGGGAAGGGAAGTGCTCAGACCACCAACACGAGTCGGGGCCCTGGGCCGGCGCCTGCATGCACCTCACCGATGAGCACGGGGCGAGGGGTCCAGGACGCGGTCAGCGGGCTTCTGCCGCCAGGGGAGAAAGGGCTGGCACATGGGCCAGCGGCCTCAGGGCTCCGGCTGCAGAGTCCGCCCCCCCTCCCCCTTCTGTCCACAGGGCAGCTCACAGAGTGGCCTCTGGATGAGGGCGGCATCTCTGAATAGCTCAATGACAAAACCATGCACGCTTTTGTGATTTCATTCATTCCGGATGGCCTGAGGAGGTGTTACAAGCATTACACCTTTATTCAGGAACAAATCAGATTTATTACAAAGATAAAATACTGTGAAATCGGCGTGTGCTCCTCTGGCTGGCACCTGCTGCTAGCCCCCCAGCCCCTCCTGTCTCCCCTCCACCACGCCACCCCCACGCCAACGGGGTGAGCAGGGGCAGGCCTGCCAAGTTCACGGGTCAGCTGGGGGCGGAGCGCTAGAG